ATGCATCAAACATAGCACTTGCTGCAGAGATGCATGTGATTTGTCTTCTCTTGAGAGATGGTAATTGGCTTCAGTTTACTTAGGCTACTGCAGTACAATTTATTTTCTTAGCTTAGCTGAGGCTCATGTTGCAGCATGTTTTCTTCTACAAGAGTGAAGTATTTAATTTGTAAAGTGGTGGAGAGTATGCGTTGCATTACAGAGACAAAGCACATCCCTGCTCTGCGGTGTTTAGTGGAAACAGATCAAAGCATTCCATCATCCCCCTTTACCTTATCCTGTCTTGTTATTAAATTGCACATGAACTAATAATGATCTTTTAGAAAACATCCATTGTAAGTAGCTCAGTAATTTGAACACGAGTAATGAACTGTGGTTACTATTTGCTTTGTCTATATATAATGAATTATTTCTGTGGTTTTCAGTCTCAGTCACATGGTGTTATTTCTCTGTTCTGAGTCTTATCTCTGTCTGCATAACCAGACATTCTTCAAACAGGCAACAAATAGAAAATAATGAAAACTTATTTTAAGTATTAGGCTTTGCTGTTAGTTCAGTGATCTTTTTTCCTGCTTGAATTTCTTTATGGTTTTTCAAATTCACCTATCTAGATGAAGAACTAAAGAGATGAGTATAAAAATCACAACAAATGGCACTTTAAGAAAGTTAAGCTCTTCAATGTAAAAATATTCACACAATCGTAACAACTCACGTAGCCATAATAATGATGTAACATATAAGTCATACACTGGAGATGACCCCTCTGAGTGAGGGCTTTCTTGGTTTTATTAATTCCCATCATAATTTTACCTTTTAAACGATTGACTTTTTTTTTTTTACACCAATAAAGTACAAAATGTGATTCATAATGGACTAAGAAGTGCTGAGTACTCACAGCTTCCTTTAATGGATTAATGAATTACACAGCAAATACATGTGACTACTGGGGATCCTAACTTGCCATAATGGCAGTCGTGCTTATTGTTATTGTGGCCAGTCTGCTCCTTCTTGGAGGAAATGGGTTGTTTTTTGCCATCTCACACTGAGTTTGCCACTTTTGGTAATATTATTTCAGTGCTGAATTAGCTTCAGTTAATTCTGCAATCTCATTACTCTTTTATGACTGTGCACATGTTAGTACTGCTGCATTAGCTCATGTGAGGCACTAGGACTTATGGGAACACTTGCTTGGGAACAGCATTAAGCTGTGCTGCCCTATGAATTAATTTGCAATGTACTGAAAAAGAATATGTCTCCTTTCTGGGCATCCATGTGGAAATTTTTTAATCTAAAAACTCATTAAATAAAAGCAGCGAGTAATGAACTTACACTGCGAGAGTGACCTAGCTCTACTGTCAGCATTACTAATACTCTCGCTTTGGCAATACGTGACAGATAAGAGGTTTAATACATAGTGGAAGGTATTTTATCTGTGGCTGGACACATTGAAAATTCACCTGGTCGTGGACATGGATCAGTATAGTCATACAAAAAAGATTTTAGTAGCCAGTAAGGGGTCCCTCTTTGCCAACTGGGAACTGTGGAAAGAGACTACACACACAATGTGGTAGGAATATAAAGCCATGCTTGACTGGGATAACCATCACTGCTGGCTTGCCTAGTACCATGCAGGGAGTTCTTTCAAGTGGCATTTCTCTTCACATAATCTGGAAGCATAGGAAAGGAGTGTATAATGTGAGATTTAAATTATACAAACTCTATTGATTTCTGTAGATAGGTAGAAGGGAAGAGGAAGTTAACGGAAGCGGCAACTGGTAATTAGGAGGACATATGTGTCCTCAAAGCAGTGAGCCT